TTGTAATATTCTAAATTTGTGATACAACATTCTCAATTTTATATTATATATATATATATTCTTAAAATAATATTTCTTTTAAATTTTAGTTACCTTATTTAAAATAAATAAAATTGGTTGTATTTTTTTTTTAGAAATAGTTATATAATTCACATTTTTAGAATAATATTTTAATCATCATATATAAATAAATAAATATAAATTTTAATGTAAGTAATCATATTTAAATACATATACATATATATATATATATATGTGATATCCAATAATATTATAAATATTTATAGTATTATAATTATATATAAAACCATCTATTATAACGTATATAATAACATCTATATTTTAATAGGTAATTAAATAAATTTGTATAATTAAATTAAAATGTGTGCAGTTAATGTGTGGTGTGTGACGTGTGTGTTATGTATGGTGTGTAGTGACGTATGTGTAGAGGTGCGGTGTGTGGAGTGATATTATGAGTGGAGTGATATTAAGCATGTGTGTATAATAGGTGCAGGTGCTGCGTGTGTGGAGTGATATTATGAGTGCAGTGATATTAACATATTATGAGTGGAGTGATATTAAGAATGTGTGTATAATAGGTGCAGGTGCTGCAGTAGACAACGTAGCAGTAGCAGTAGATAATGTAGAATCAATGAGTCAGTAGATAACGTAGCAGTAGAAAATGTAGATAAAATTAATGAGTAAGAAAACAGGATTTCGTAATGCATGACCTCAGCAAGAGGCATTTCACGCCCTATAGATAGGTAGTAACCATTTGAACATTCGAAGCACGAGAGAACGAACAGAAAATGGAAGAGAACGTAAAAAGAGAGAAAGAAATAGTACGTGAGAAAGAAAGTTGTGGTACATTGTTTTAGGTTATCTCTAGAACAATTTCATATCTCTACTAAGGTAAGGGGCAAGAGAACCTTACCTCTTTAAAATTTTATATACTATTATGTTTATTTATTTATATTATTTTCTGTGTAATTATTTAGTGAGGTGTCCCTAACCTCATTTATTTGCTTAACCTATGATTATTTTTATCTATAATAATTATTAATATGTTCATATTTTATATTTTTTAATTATTTTATAATGATTATCATTGTCATTTACTTGATTGATGCTCTTAATATATTTCATTTACGTATATGTTATTTATTTAAAGCTTAAATAATGATAAATACTCTAATTTATTTAGCGTGATTGTTTTCATGATTGACTATAATATAATTTTGTTAAAATATCTTTGACTTGTTTTAAAGATAAATATTATTTTATGGCCATAGAAGATAAAATTTGAATTATTTGTAGCTGGAGGTTTGACATTGGGGATTTAAATGAGTAAGGAGTTAAGATTAAAAATTATTTTGTTGGTTGATATTGTAATGCTCATTTATCCTGACTAGTCACTACAAGTGTAATTCAAATTTTTATATATATTTTCTAATATTAACTATTGTTATGCATGCTCTGTGATTATAAATATTTCTGTGAAAATTGTTCTCACTCCTTATATTTCTTGTTTAAAATTTGTATTCATTTATATATATAAAAAAACAAATATATATATATAGATGGATGCGCCCCACATTCCAGGACCTTTTCCCTTAGTGATATTTGCAGTCTTTTCTGGAACTACATGGAGTGTAGATACGGTAGCAAACGCAGTCACATTTAATGGAGTGGCGGTGTCGACTTTTACCTTCTCTCCAAACCAAGAAGTTCCTACAGTGATCGACGGTCCAATAATAGTCACTTTCTTTTTACCGCCTGCTAACCATGTGAATCTAATTGTAAATTTGTTTCAACCACCCATGTAAATATTATAATAGAGGTAGGAAAAGAAACTATGGTATGTAAATAGGCACGTATTGTAAATATTTTTTTAATAAAATGTAATATATATGTAAAAGTAAGTAACTACGCATGTAGTGGTAAATATTATTAGTTTGTTATTATGTATAATATTATTACTATACATGTTTTTTCTATCTATAAATATTATATATATATATATACGTATATTATTGAGATTAATATTAATACGACTAGGCGTTACATTTTAATGGTATCAGAGCAACGTTCCATGTAACTTGGGGAATGTGCTAGCCATGTTTCTAGTATAATAAACTAACCTATAAAAATTTCAGATGGCAGGAAGATGAAATACAGAATTGACTGAGGCTGTGCAAGCTATTAAGGACATGGCTGCTGCCTTGTTAAGGAATTAACGACGGGAAGGAATGGGGGAGTCACAATGATTAGTGGAATTTAGGAGAAATAAATCTTCCCAATTTGACGGAGGATATAATCCTGAAAAGACTGAATTATGGATTAGAAAAATAGAAAAGATATTCCGAGCCATGAATTGTCCTGATAACCAAAAAGTAAATTATGCAGTATTTATGTTAGTAGGAGAAGCAGAATATTGGTGGGATAGTACTAGAAGACTATTAGAAGGAGGAGGAATAATTATTACATGGGAAGTGTTTAGAGCTAAATTTTTTGAAAAATATTTTCCTAATGATGTTAGGAGAGCTAAAGAAATAGAATTTATGCAATTAAAACAAGGGAACATGACCATGGGAGAGTATGCTTCCAAGTTTGAGGAATTGGGAAAGTATTCTACTTTCTTTTATCACCCTGATGAGAGAATGAAGTGTATTAAATTTGAGGATGGACTTAGACCAGAATTAAGAAAGGCAGTAGGAATATTAGAAATTTCTGATTTTCCCACATTAATACACAGGTGTCATTTTCCGGAAGGTTTTGATCATAATAAGGATAACAAACCAAAATCTTTTGGTCCTCAGTTTAACAAGAAAAGGAATAATGAAGGAAAATCTTATGATCGACCTCAATGGAAACCCCAATCTTCTCAATTTGCAGGAAATTCCAGTAGACCCATGAATAATTAAGCTAAGTGTCTTAAGTGTGGACAGGGTCATTATACTAAAGACTGTCATCTCAAAGGACCTGTTTGTTTCAAGTGTGGAAAGCCAGGTCATGTGTTTTCTGAGTGTGGACAACCAAAGGCGCACACGAATACTTCTGGACCCAAACCGAGACTTCCTACAACTGGGAGAGTTTATACCATGACCAGAACTGAAGTTGCTCAAAACAACGATTTAATACAAGGTACATGTTTCATTAAAGGCAAAACTTTAAATGTATTGTATGATTCAGGTGCAACTCATTCTTTTATCTCCAATGGTTGCGTTCAACACCTTCAATTGTCAGTTTCTTCTTTAGAGACTAATCTAATTGTTTCGACCCCTACAAATGAATCTATGATTGCCAATAAAGTTTGTTTAGATTGCCCTATTTTTATTAGTGATAGAAAATTTCTTGTAAATTTGATCTGCCTACCTTTATCACAGCTGGATGTGATTTTAGGTATGGACTGGTTATCTTCTAATCATGTCTTTCTCAATTGTGCCAAAAAGTCTGTAAGATTTTCTGATTCTAAGAACCAATCGATTTTATTATCCAAACCAATAAGCAAGTTTTCTTGGGGTAAAGTTCAAGGATATTTAATCTTATCCTCTATGGAAGCTAAAGAGGAAGTCGACTTGAAAAACATAGCTATTGTTCAAAAATTTCCTGAAGTTTTTCCTAATGATAAGAGGAAGTCAACTTGAAAAACATAGCTGTTGTTCAAAATTTTCCTGAAGTTTTTCTTAATGATATTCCTGGTTTGCCACCTGACAGAGAGATTGAATTTTTTATTGATTTAATGCCTGGAACTGGACCAATTTCAATGGCACCTTATAGGATGTCACCTTCTGAATTAGCTGAGTTGAAGAAACAATTAGAAGAGTTGCTTGAAAAACAATTTATACGCCCTAGTGTATCACCTTGGGGGGCTCCTGTTTTGTTAGTTAAAAAGAAAGATAGAAGTTTTAGGTTGTGTGTAGACTATCTTCAATTAAATAAGTTTACCATAAAGAATAAATACCCTCTTCCTAGGGTAGATGATTTGATGGATCAATTGAGAGGAGCCACTGTGTTTTCTAAAATAGATTTAAGATCAGGATACCATAAAATC